ATGTGTTCCTTGGTGAAATGTCTGTTCATGTCCTGTGTACATTTTTAAAATTGGGTTGTTTGTCTTTTTCTTGCAGAGATGTTATAGTTTCTATAAATTTTAGAGATGAATCTCTTGTCTGATATGTCATTGCAAAAAAAAGTTCACTCTGTAGGTTCTTTTTTGGAGAAATCTTTTGATGTGTTTTGGCCCTTTGCCAAAAATCAGCTGACTGTATGTGGATGGATTTACTTCTGTGTTCTCAATTTTGTTCCATTGACCTGTATCTTTCTTTTTACCAGTGCCAAATTGTTTTGACCACTGTGGCTGTGAGGTAAATTTTGAGAACAGGGTATTAGAGGTCTCCAACTTTATTCTTCTTCTTAAGCAGTGCTTTGTTTATCTGAGATTTCTTTCCTTTCTATATAATTAAAAAAAAATGTTTTATTGTGAATTATGTGAAGTTTACATGGGAGAACATTAGTTTTACTTTCATCCTATGGTATATCATTTCATTGCAATGGTTACAATGTATCATCAACCAACCAAAGAGTGTACCCTGCAAGCCTGCCCCCCAGACATCAGTACACAGCCCCTCTCCCTCTCTGGGTCTAAAGTCCCCAGCTGCTCCATTTTTCCACCTCACCATCTCTGCCTCCATCTCTGGCATCACTGCTTCTCTGGGTAGGGTCCCGCTCTCGGCTCTTCTCCCTTGATGGTCCCAGGAACCTCTGCTCCTAGACTGTGAAGTCAATCATTCCCCTCCTTTTTCCTTTCTATATAAATTTAATGATCAGTTTTTCCAACTCTTTAATGAATGATGTTAGGATCTGATTTGGGATTGCATTATATCTATAGATTTCTTTGGGTGCTGTTTTTGTTGTTGTTAAGTGCAATAGAGTAGATTCCGATCCATAGCAGACCAGTATAGGGTTTCCAAGGAGCAGCTGCTGAGCTTCAAACACTGATCTTGCAGTTCAAAGAGACTTTGCAGTCCAGCGCATATATCCACAGTGCCACACCAAGACTTTTTCAGAAGAACAAACAAATCTTTGTTGGAAGAAGTACATAATGCTCCTTAGAAGCCAGGATGGTTAGACCTTGTCTCTCATACTTAGGACATATTAGTAGGAGAGACCAGTCTCTGGAGGACACCATGCTTGGTTAAATGGAGGGTAAGTGAAAAAGAGGGAGACTCCCAATGAGATGTGTTGGCATAGTGACAAAAGCAATGGGCTTAAGGGTAACAATTGTGAGGCTGCACAAGGGCAATGTTTCTTTCTGTTGTGGATAAGGTTGCTATGAGTTGGAGCCTACTCGACTGCACCCAACAACAATAACAATGACAACACTGATCTACTTGTTCTGTTCAAATGTTTGTCTCTCGGTCTATGTTTATTTTCACGTGAGCAAATTAAATGCTCTGGAACTTCCATTCTTGGTAATGTTACTCATAGTTTGTTATGATCCACACAGTGAATGCCTTTACACAGTCAAAAAATCACAGATAAACATCTTTCTTGTATTTTGAGTTCAGCCAAGATCCCTGAGACTTCAGCAGTTCCTGGTTCAAAGTCTTCTTCTAAATCAAGGTTGAATTTATGGAAGCTCCCTGTCCATACACAGTTTCCACCATTTTTAAATTATATTTAGCAAAACTTTACTTGCATGTGATATTAATGATACTATTTGATAATAGCCACATTCAGGAAGATCAATCACCTTTCTTTGTAATGGGCAGAAATATGGATCTCTTCCAGCCAGTTGTCCAAATTTCTTGGCATGGACCAGTGAGTATTTCCAGTGTTGCATCAGTTTGTCGAAACATTTCACTTGATTTTTCTCCAATGCCTGGAGCTTTCTTTGTTTTTCACCAATATCTGCAGTACAGCTTGAGCTTTTTCCTTCGATATCATTGATTCTTGATGATATGCTATCTCCTGTTATGGTTGAATGTCAACCACTACATTCTGGCTCACTGACTGTATATCTTCCTTCCATTTTCAGTTGATACTTCCTGTGCTGTTCAATATCTTGCCTATGTTGTCATTGCTATAAGGAACCATCGAGTTTCTTTCGACTCATTGCAACCTTATACACAACAGAACGAAACACTACCCCATCCTGTGCCATCCATATAATTGTTAGGTTTGAACTCATTGCTATGTCACTGTATTAATTCATCTTATTAAGAGTTTTCTTTTTCACTGACCTTCCCTTTACCAAGCATGATATCCTTCTCCAAGGATTAGTCCTTCTTGACAAAATGTCCTAAGTAGAAGAGATAACATTTCACTATCTTCACTTATAAGGAGCATTTTGGCTGCAGATTTCATTGCAATGGTTACAATCCCCTGCATGTATCATCAACCAACCAAAGGGTGTACCCTGCAAGCAGACCAACCAACCAAAGGGTGTACCCTGAAGATTTGTTTGTACTTTCAATACTCTTTTCCAACACCTTAATTCAAATGCATTTATACTTCTTTAATCTTCTTTATTCATTGTTCAACTTTCACATGTATATGAGATGTTTGGGTCAGGTAAACCTTAGTCCTCAAAGTGACACCTTTGTTTTTTAATGTTTTAAAAAGGTCTTTTGCAGCAGATTTGTTTAATGCAATAGGTTTTAAGTGCTGCTTCCATGAGCATTGATCGTGGATCCAAGCAAAATGAAGTCTTGACAACATAGTCTGCCCCTGGCCTGGTTTTGGCTGATGATATTGATCTTCTCCATCATCTCTTTCCACAAATGTTGGTAATTGATTCCTGTGTATTCCACCTGACAAGTTCTATGAGTATGGTCACCATTATGCTGTTGAAAAAAGACACTGATCCTGTCAAAGTCTATCATGTTATCTCCAATATGGTTTCTATCATCAAGGTCATATTTTCCAACTACCTATTCCTCATCTTTCTTTCTAACTTTAACATTCCAATCATTGGTAATTATCAATGTATCCTGATTACAGGTTTGATTATTCAGACAGAAAAGGTTGGTAGTAGATATCCTAAATGTCTTCAACATTGGCTTTAGTGCTTGCTGTGTCAAGTTGATTGATAGTTGTACTAACTGGTCTTCCTTTTAAGCATATAGTATTATCTTAGCACAGACAGTATTGAGCTTCAAGATAGATCCTGAAATGCTTTTTTTTTTTTTTAAATGTTTTATTGTGAATTATGTAATAGTTTACATGGGAGAACTTTAGTTTTACATTCATTCTATCGTATATCGTCTCA